AATACATCGCAGTGGCATTACTTCCGCCAAATCGACAGGAAGCCCGCCACCTATAATGTAAACATTTAGCTTTTTCGATATGTCAGTATAAAAATAAAATAGAATTTCTGCATCATTAATTTTGACTCTTTGTTTCTAAGAATATTAAAGACCATGTAAAGTCCGTTCTGCGCATACGTTCTGCGCAGGCTTACATTCCAATGGTCGGGACCCGACCGTTGGAATGTTTTTAATATTTCGTATCTCTTGAACTTTCTTGAATTGAATTTCTAGTGTGTATTCATTTACAAGCATAGCGAACCAGAAGAGTGTTAAAAATTCAGTATAATATATATCTAATCATATTTTACAACTGTAGCACTGAGTTCAAAATGTAAACAAAGCGTTTGTTTACATTACGGACTTTACATGGTCTTTAAATGAGGCCTGACTGAACCTTATATAATTATTTGAATAATACCCTGATATTTCAGGGATATTTTTTCCTCCAGGGATATTTTTCAACTATCCAACATATCCTCAACTATCCAACATATCTGGCTGGAGAGCAATAAGACTCTACCCTGCACACCCCTACAAAGAACTTATTAATTAACGTATGTAACATCAGAAGAAATTGCTCCTTAGGTGTTAATAGGTGAAATATGGGCAGGTAGTCCACAGTCGATAATCAAAATTGTCTAGCATGACATGTCAGAGTTGAATATCAAAGTATTTAAAGTAGGTAGTGTTAGGGAAAATTGTATCTAAATATATCAACATGAAACATGGGCAGAGTCTAGGTAGACACTTCCCTTGACAAATAAAATTGTCCGGCATTAGGCAAGGTAACATTTAACAAAATGCTGAAAATTGGGCTCATTGGAGTGAATCAGTGAAATGGGTAATAATTCCAAAAACCATCAAATCCTTGCCCACCCGATTAGCGTGTTTGGCGTAATGTACTCAGGTGAATAAGATGCTTGTGTGATCTTACTCTGATTGCATATCCTCACCAGGCAGGCTTGAAAAATATACCTGGCCACGGTGGGATTCGAACCTACGACCTTTGGAATAGTAGCCCAATGCTCTGACGATTGAGCTATGCGGTCAGGTCGGTTCGATTATGCTATATTTCTGAACTGAGTCT